GATTTTGACATGTGAATTTCTTTTGTAGTTTCTGACTCTTGTGTGATACTTGGGGCTTCAAGTTTAGTTCTGCTTCTTTTTTTTGAGCTTTATGTGTCTTTGTGGTTTACTTTTTGGGTATGAAGAGCTGGTTCGTCTAAGCTTCTTGTTCTCTCTTTTGATTTTATATTGTCATTGCCGGATTGATTTTGTCTTCAGGAGTTCTGTGGTGGCCCACTTCCAATGTGGGTCAGAAGTTTTCAGACTTTCTCCTTGGGTCTGGAATCTTCAAAGAATGCTTTTGGCCTCAGGATTGTGGGTGTTGGAGTGACCTGAGACCCTGGCCGTGGCCGTGCCACACAGGGATGCAAAGGCTGATGGGGTGGGAATAAGCCCGGATTTTCCAAGCCTCGGAGCCCCAGAAAGAGGCTGTCAGCCCCAGAAAGAGGCTGGGGGGTTTTGCAGGACCAGGGAAGCAGAGAGAGGTGAGGGCGGGGCCGGGTTCAGAGGCAGTACTCCTGGGGCCCAAAGAAGGCACCAAGCCGGTTGGGGTGAACAGGGTCAGGAATCAGCACTGGCTCCCCAGGTGTCTGGGGCCCCAAGACTAGGAATGGCACAGGGCCCAACCTAGGAGTAGAGAACAGTGGGGGAGATGGAAGGGTGAGCGCGGGGCTGGCGGAGTCAAGGTGCGGAGGGCTGCACAGCAGACTTACCCCAAGAGAGGCCTGAGGGCGGGAGAGCAGGTCAGGAGAGTTAGCCAGTGGTGCAGGTCAGGGAAGCAGGCAGAGGTGAGGGCCCGCGGAAGCAGTGCTCCTGGGGCCCAAGGAAGACACCAAGCTGGCCTGGGCGAAAAGGATCAGGAAGAAGCACCAGTTCCCCAGGTGTCTGGGGACCCAAGACTAGGAATGGCGCAGGGCCCAAACCAGGAGCAGAGAACAGCGGCGGAGATGGAAGGGCGAATGAGGCGGGGGGAGTCAATGCGCAGCGATGGACCCACCCCGAGAGGCCTGAGGATTGGGTAGCAGGCCAGGAGAGTTAGCCGGTGGTGCAGGTCCGGGGAAGCAGAGAGAGGTGAGGGCAGGGCCGGGTCCGGAGGCAGTGCTCCTGCGGCCCAAGGAAGGCACCAAGCCGGTTGGGGTGAACAGGGTCAGGAATCAGCACTGGCTCCCCAGGTGTCTGGGGCCCCAAGACTAGGAATGGCACAGGGCCCAAGCTAGGAGTAGAGAACAGTGGGGGAGATGGAAGGGTGAGCGCGGCTGGCGAGTCAAGGTGGGGAGGGCTTAATGGTAGACTTACCCCGAGAGGGGCCTGAGGGCGGGCGTCCCTTCCTATTTTTAAAAAGTTTTATGTATATGAGTGTTTTGCCTGCATGTATATAAGTGCACCGTGTGTGTGCAGTGCTCACAGAAGAGGGTTATGGATCCATTAGAACTGTTACTCATTGTTAGTCACCATGTGGGTGTTAGGAACTGAACCCCAGTCATCTGGAAGAGAAATGCTGTTAACTGCTGAGCTATCTTTCCAGGCCTCCCCTTTTCAGTGTGGGTTCTTGGGATCAAACTGAGGTCCTTGTGACTGCAAGGAAAACAGTTTACAACTTGCCAGCCTTATGATCTTTTAATGTCCTTTTTTCCTACTCTTACTGTCTCTGAGGCAAACTCTTTAGAATAGCTCTATATCTTAAGCAGTATAACACACAGCTGGTCTTTAGTAAAAGGTGATTCTATCGTCTGTAAAATCAAACTTTTGCACTCAGTCTCTTTTTATAGAGTTCTGGAGTTCTCAGTGTTGCCTTTGGTGAATGTTGATGGACTTAAGAATCATATAATACTTGGTTCTTAGTCAGATGGGGAAAAGATATATAAAAAACAGATATTTCTATGTTCAAGGACTTTTTAAAGGAAACCTGCTCTCTGTATTTCATTGGTCTGTGGTTCTGAGAATTATGTAATGCTTGATTTATTTAGAGCTGGAGGCTCATTGCTGTGATCACATGCCTGACAAAAGCAACTTTTGGGAGCTTTGGGGGATTTATTCTGGCTTATGGTTTAAGGGGATACAATTCATCATGGGAAGGAAGGTGAGGTGGCAGGTCACATTGTGTCTGCATGACGGGAGTGAGAGATAAGCCGGTGTGCTGTCTGCTTCTCCTTTTTGTTCAGTCTGGGGTCCCTGCCAACACAATGGGTCTGCCTACCTTAGTTAACCCTTTCTAAAAACTCCCTCACAGACACACCCAGAGGTTTGTCTACAAGGTACTTCTAGATCTGTCAAGTTGACAGTATTAATCACGGCAATACATGTATGCAAAATGTTCTTATGCTGTTCTCCATGTGATCATATTGTTTGGTTAATCAATAGTCTTCATTATTACTGTAGAACATGCTGCTTCTCTCTGCTTTCTAATGGGGTTTGTAAGCTCCCGATAGAATATCTGATCACATCTGCACGTGCTGCTTGCATTTTGCTGACTAATTAAAAAGTTAGTTATAAAACTTGGCTTCTGTTCATTATTTTTACTCAGAATTTAAATATTAAGTAAACCATTGACATGAGTGCAAAAGAGTCATTGTTTCTGGAAAGAATTAAGGAAATTTTTTGGAAGTAATGTCCTGGGCCTCAGGGAAGTAGAAAGGTGGGGGAGGGAAAGTTGATGATTTTTCCTCACCTGTAGTAACTTTCTTTCCTTGTTACACCACAGAGAAAACCGGGGTTGGGAGCCACCCTAACCCCAAACAACCAGCAGTGGCTGTTTCCCAAGACAGGGGACCCTATCAGCAGATGACAAGCCTCAAGAGGACAAAAATAGGGCTGCCAATCCAATGGCAGAAGGGGTGCATGAACACCTTAGGACTAATTTAAGAAAAGAGGGATGCCAACCTGGAAGGGTTGAACCCAAGAAAAACCCAGTCCCTCTTACAGGCTGGTCTCTCAGCTTTGGACCCCCTCCTTAGACCCAAGGGCATTGTAACACTTGCCGGTAAACTTTACATTCACTTTGCTTTGGACATTTTCCCCTGTCTTTTAATTCTAATTAGTGGAGAAAAAGAACTCCAACCTTAGCTGGTAACAGGAAATTTTGCTAAGTGTGAATTATTAAAGTGGTTGAAAAAGGAGGGGATTGGATATCTATGAAGATTTGGGAAAAATAATTTTAGGATAATTGTGTTACTGAATTTTTACTCCATTATAAAGGAACCAAAATTGAATATTGACAATGAGGCGTCATGTTTATAGTGTATAAAAGAAATATACACAAGGAAAAAGAAGCAGTTTTAGTACTGCATGTGTCAAAAATGACATATTAGTGCACATTGTTATTATTAAAAAATGATAAAAAGCCAAGTATGGTAACACGTGCCTTTAATTCTTGTTATTGGGAGGCAGAGACAGTCAGATCTCTGTTAGATTGAATCCAGTCTGGTCTCCATAGTGAGTTCCAGGCCAGCAATGGCTACAGGGAGACCCTGTCTCAAAAAGACAAACAAACAGCCCTACCCCCAAATTAATAAAAGAAGGAAAGATTTAGGTATTTATGTGTAATTTCTTTTTGTTTTCATCTTTAAGTGAATTACTTTTATAAATGACCAGAGAAGGCAAGTATATATTCTTATTCACTTGTATTATGCCTATGCATTGTATACCATATACACAAATGAAGATAAACTTATGAATCTGGGTTCTTAATCATGATATAGTGTTTATAAATATACACACAATTGACTGAAAATGTAACATATTTAGTATATATTTACAAGAATTGCTTTCATGTTTAATTTATTAGCCTTGCTTTTTTTTCCTCCATAGGAGTTCACCTGGCACAGTAGCTGCTCCTCGCCTGGCTCCCACGGGTGTCAGTTGGGCTGACAAAGTCAAGGCTCATCATACAGGTTCTGCCACTACTTCAGACATAGCACCTGTTCAACCCTGCCCACCAATGACAGTGCAAAAGACTTCCCGAAAAAATGGCAAGTGGCTTTGAATTAACACCCCCCACTCCTCCCTCCCCTGGTTTGCAGCTGACTGTAGGGATATTTCTCTTTTTCCAAACCTGGCCCTTCCTACATAAGAAGTAAAGGAAATGAAGTTGAAGTGGCTAGGAAGGTGGAGTTGGGTCTAAGAGGAGATGGGGGTGGTGGGTTGAATTTGATCCAAATACACTGTATGAAATTTTCAAATAATCAGTAAAAATATTGTTTAAAAAAACTTGGCCCTAATCTAATTATATATTTATGTTTTAGCATTATCTATGCCATATTGATCTACCTTAGGTGAAACCATAAAATATGGGTTGGGGATGTAACCCAGTGGTAGAGCACCTGCCTCGCTCAGCACTCGTGGGAAGCCCTGAGTTCACATGTAAACGATTGCTTTTTTCATGTCATGGATGTATTTGTTTTGTTTTTCCATTTTGGTCTCAGTAAGTCATGTGGCTCATTTAAAATAATATTCCTTAGTTTTACCTAATATAGTGTCCTTGATTTCTTTGTATGAGGTGACTTGTAGCAAATTAGCAGTAGGCAAGAGTTTTATAACTATTCTTTTTTGTTTCTGTAGGGTAATACTAAAGGCCGTGTGGTTTATAAACAAAAGAGGCATATATTTAGTCCAGAGGCTCACTGTCTAAAATTGGTTGGCTCCATCAAGTGAGCTTCCAGAAGCCATAATAAACTTGTATCGTCTCCAAAATTCTGAAAGAGAATAACTTCTACTTTAGATTCTATGTTCAACCAAATTATTCATTAAAACCGAGAGTAGATTATTTTATACATACAAGGTCTCAAATATATTTACCGCCCTTGGACCCAGTTACTATCAGAAGAAACCTGCACAGGCTTAAAAGGACATAAGTCATGATGACGGTCTCAGAGTGAGAGCAGCTAGCCTAGATGTTTTATGATCACAGTGCTCTGAAAGTGAAGAATTCAGGAAGATAAATGTCAATATTAAGAAATTTGCCAGGTATGGTGGCACACACCTTTAATCATAGCACTTGGGAGGCAGAGGCAGGCAGATATCTGTGAGATTGAGGCCAGCCTGGTTTACATAGTGAGTTCCAGGCCAGCTGGGTATGGTAGCATGCCACCCTGGGAAAAAGAGAAAGATAATGAGTTTGAGGTCAGTCTGGGCTACATAGCAAGTTTCAGGCTAGCCTGAGCTACCTAACAAAACTTCCTCATAGCAGCAACAAAAAGCATTTGAGGAGCTGAGCAGTAATGAATTCTGAATACTGCAGAAAGTATTAAGGTAATCCAGGGAGAGAAAGAGGAAGAAACATGGGGGACATTCTTGGACTCCAGGAGAGGGCAGGGAGTATTGCAAAGCAGCCTCAGAAGAGATAGAGATCAAGAAGGTCCCCAGATGGCTGAGATCAATCAAATGTTAGATTCAAGATAGATAAATTTAATCTAGGTACAATGTAACGAAAATACCGAAAATTAAAGAAATGGAAAATCTTTGCAAGTAATCAAGAAAAGATAATTTTTGAAGGAAGCTAGTAGCTGACTTTACAAGAGAAACCGTAGATGCCAAATGACAGTGGAACCATGTTTAGAATGCTGAAAGACCTCTCATATCTACAAAGAATCTACATAAGCAAGGGGGAATGAAGACTTTTTCATACAGAAGTTTCAGAAAGTTTGTAATCAGATTTGTGCTCCAGTAAATACCACAGAGATATTTTGGATGGAAGGAAAATGATCTCAGATGGAAACATAGAAATGTGAGGAGGTATGGAGATCCTCAGAAGGAATGAATGTGGGCAACCTAATGTGTATGGACTGTGAGAAGCACTATGTCTTGTGAGACTTGAGATATGGTAAATGAAAGTTATGACAGTAATACAAAAGTCAAGGAAAGACCAAATTGTGTCTGTGTCTGTGTGTGCACACATACTTGCTTATGCGTGTACTCTCCACCTTATCTTTTGGGACGGGCTCTCACTGAACCTGGAGCTCACCAATTAGCTAGACTGGCTGGCCATTGACCCCCTGAAACCCTCCTCATCTTTGCCTCCCATAACTGGGGTTACAGGAATGTGCTGGCCTGTCTGGATCTTTGCATGGGTGCTAGGGATCTGAACTCAGATTTTCATGCTTGTGCAGCAAGCACTTGACTACTGAGCCGTAAGTTTTCTAGAGTGCTGGCCTTACCATAAGCTTTACAAAAGTTTATTGTGTATTAAACGGTAATAAGTCAGGGCTACATACTAAGATGAGCAAAAAAAAATGTATAACTGATAATTTTATGAGAGGAAATACAAGAATGAAAACATTTGCGTGATTGGAAGAGAGACAATAAAAGAAGAAGAAACATAAAAAGATAGGACAGATTAAAAATAATTATAAGATGGCAGAAGTAAATACAAATATGTCAATGTGTACATTCAATGTAAATTATCTAAATATTCAACTATAAAAAGAGTTTATAAGACTGCACTAAAATCAAAGGTCAACTGTATTTTGCTGATAAGACATAGACCTTAATTAGGATGACAGAAAAGTTTCAAGGAAAGGATGGTATGTTTTCAATATGAAATGTCCCTCATAGTCTCATGTGTTTGAACACTTGGTTCCCAGCCAGTGGCACTGTTTTGGAAGGTTGAGGAACCTTGGAAGTGGACCCTCACTTGGAGTAAGTGCACTGCAGGGATTGGGCCTTGAAGTTTTTTAATAGCCCAACCTTGTATCCACTCTCTGCTTCATGACTAAAGGTGCAGTGTGAACAACTGTCTCTTTCCTCCTGCCACACCTTTCCTGCTAAGATGGACTATAAGCCAAAATCAACTTTTCTTCACTTGAGTGAGTTGTTTCTTGTCAGGTGTTTGGTCACAGCATCCAGAAAAAGTAACTAAATCAGAATATTGGTGCTAGAAGTAGAGTTGTTGCAATAAGAAACCATGTGCTTCATAGGATGTTCTGTTTCTCCATTGCTGTGACAACATACTCTGACCAATAACAACTTAGGGAAGAAAGGGTTTGGCTTATATCTCCTGGGTCACAGTTCATCAGGGAACTTACTCAGGGCAGGAACCTGGAGGCAGGAGCAGGAGCACAGGCCATGGAGGAATGCTGCTTACTGGCTTGTTCCCCTGGCCCCTGCTCAGACTGCTTTCTTATGCAACACAGGTCCACCTGCCCAAGGGTGGCACTACCCACAGTGGGCTGGGCCCTCCCACATCACTCAACAATCAAGAAGATGCCCCATGGACATGGCCACAGGTCAGTCCAATGGAAGCAGTTCCCCAACTGAAGATCTTTCAACTCAGGTGTGTCAAGTTGACACTAAAGCTATCTATCACATAGGCCTTTAGAACTGGTTTAGGAGGTATCTGGAAGACTTTGTAGCTGTGAGCTAGAGAATCCCTCAAATGCTCGAGCCCTTCTGGAGGGGGTTTGGAAGAACAGAATGCTGAGAAATTCACACAGTGGCTGCCCCTCTGAGGTTTCAGATGTTACTGATGTCTATGAGGTACTGAACTAGAGGCCAATTGCACTATATTCTGGCAAAGAATCTGGCTGCATTCTGCCAGTATCTTGCTTGAGGCTGATTTCTAAAGTACTGAACTAAGTTGTTTACTGCAGGAAATGTCAAGTCAGGATAGCATTCAGGCTGTAGTAGAGCTACTACTTAACTGCTCTTACCCAGCTCTTCAGTGAGAGAGAGAGAGAGAGAGAGAGAGAGAGAGAGAGAGAGAGAGAGAGAGAAATGAAGCAGAAAGATATTAAAAATGTACAGTTGGTGAGGAAATGGGTGATTTAAAGTTGCAGGCAAGGCAGGTGTGAAATGCAGCTATAATTATTAAAGAGATTGGCACTATTAAAATAAACCCTCATGCTCTGCACCGAGATAACATGAAAGGTGCCCCACCAGAAAGACCTTACTCATCAAATGTGCCAGCCTGTGAGACTGCTCATTTATCTATATAGAGAGAGCCTATTTAGAGTCTCTTGTTTTAGGAAGATCAGCTCTTCCTCACCCAGCAGATCGGCTGCCAATGTTTCCCCAGCTAAGATTGGGGTCTGCTGTTCATTTCCCCAGTTCTATGCTGGGTTTTTGTCTGCCTGAAATTGCATGGGACTTTTGTATGCTGACACACCATTGTCATATAATCATATAAGCAGGGTCCCAGGAGCTTGTAGGACTCTGTTTCCATATGGTTGTTCACCTCCTCCCTGGCTCTTATACTCTTTCCACCCCTCTTCTGCGATGGTCCCTGAGCCCTGGATGGGTGAAGGTTAATATTCCTGTTTGTGGACCAGCAATCTGCAGACTCTTAATCTCTACATTTTGGCCATTTGTAACCTTTTGTGTTCCTGTCCCTCTGTGTCATAAGGGATCTTCATTAATATGAACTGAGAGATTCATTAGTGTTGTCTTCATTACCCTGTTCTATGTTCCATGCGTCTTAGAAGTAGAGGTTGCATTGTAGATATGTCACTTAGGCCTGGGCAATTCATAGACATTGTCTATGTGTGACCAGTTTGATGAGTGGTGACTGGGATATTTGTCTGTAAATATAAGGGTACATATTTTGCACATAGTAAGAAATTATATTAGTCTAGCGATGTGACAGTCTTGGGGTTTTCTCTAAGATCTCTGACCTCTCCAACCATGTGTATTTGGTTATGTTTACAGTACCACGCTTGAATTTCCTCCCATTGAGTGGGCTTTTAGTCCAATTAGGTAGCTGTTGATTGCCCCCGAGTTAAAAGTGCCACTATTGCACCAATGCTGTGCTGACCATTGATGTGGTTGTTTGGTCTTAAAGCTGGTGTTGGATCATTGATTGATGTTCTCCCTTACCAGCTTGCACAGTGCTCTCCAAAGCTAGGAGAGCTAGCCTTCAGGGGAAGTGGTTTCAGGTCACTTGCAGCTCTATTGTTCCAAATCCTGTGTCCAAAGTATCTATCTTCCGCAGTAGGGTCTTACCTTCAAGATCTGGGAGGCCATCAAGGGCTGTGGCAAT